ATATATATATATATATATATATATATATATATATATATATATATATATATATATATATATATATATACGATTTTTTGTATATACTCCTCTCAAGGGTGAGGAAGAATAATGTTGAGGGCATGGAATTATAGCAGTGTCATTATTCACTTTAATTAGGGAACATAACTTGATAGCAAAACTTGATGATCGGTTAAATAGTTCATAAAATATATATAATGACATGCAAAACGCAACCGAAAATTCTTCCAAGAATAGAGTAATTATATTGATCACTACGTCACGGCAAAAAATAACCCTCAAACCAACCCTCTCTTCCTCCTCTTTTTTTTTGGGCTTTTGCTTGTTCATTTCTTTACACAGCCTTTAGCTACAAATCAATTCCTACCGTACTAGTAAACATTCACATACCTCAAGAATCACCGACCTCGGCGTAGATCACTTGCAGCTCATAAGTACAGAATTTATAACGTGCATTACTAGACGCATATTAGTAACGTCGGAGGCACTCGTCGTGGGAAGTGATCTTTGGTGGGCAAGGATGTTGTAAACCTGCTCGAGGATTGGCTGTATGTATGAAGTGATCATTGGATCTGTTGGGTTGATTACTAAGGCCACGTCTGTCATCCAACTCACTTTCCTTGACGCCTCAGTGCCGATGTCGCATGCTAGCTGCTGCAGAAGGGCTAGCAGAACTCCTTGACTTAAAGGAAGTGGTACGGTGTAACAAATAGCACGCAAATCGACCTGAAACAAAAATGATGCCAAGATAAACATATAGTGAACAGCTCGTTGGCATATCAGCATAAGAAGTGGAATAAAACGCACTGCTTGAGAATCATGAAAACTCCATTAAACCTGAAGGCAAATAGATGGATCCATCTTTCATCGCCAGCGATTTTTCAGATGTGTGTAAACAACATACCTGTGTGCATAGCCAGGACACGATGGATACATCGCTTCTTTGTAGAGCAATTGCGAAAGCTTCCTCGTACTTGCATTCGGATATTAATCTTGAGAGTTCCTTTCTTGGATCCAGAGGTGCCTCGACCTGCTGTACAGACAAAGCCTGCTACAAATGAGCATTCAAAGATATTATCCTCATAATCAAGGCATGATCTTATGTGCGTAGGAAGATATACCACATGCTGGAAACTAATGTTTACCATCTCAGGAAGACCGGGCATGGGTGCACCAGTCTGCTGCATAGAAATTGGATTTGCCGCTTTTGTGTTTCCTGCAGCGACTAGAGCTACTAGCTTCCGCTGGCCGTCAATCAATTCAGTAGTAAGATTTTGGGTGATTGATGAAGTGGAATTAATGGCATCCTGTATATACAGAACAAAGAGTTGACAATGAAGAATAGTCTCTGCCATAAACACGGGACAATATAGTACAGGATAACCACCAAAACCCCACATGTTAGGCACGTACCCTCAGAGTAAGTGCTAAGGGAGTATATGCTGCCTCAAGCTGTTGTTGAGCAGCAGCAGTATGTTCATTCATTCCTTTCTGAAATGCACTGTCTACTTGCTCAAACATTGTTTTGCAAGATTTCTCAAATGCAGGAACCACTGAGGACTCCACACAAGACCTTAAAGCATCCTGCATGTCGAGGTACAAGGAAAGCAACTTTTAGACTGAATCTAGATGACATTCATTGAAAAAAAAATTTCTCAGAAAAAAATGGGAAAGAAACGTCAGTGGCAGATAAACATGCAAAACAAGCCAACAGCTCTCTGAATATTACAGAAATAAGTAGTGTTTGTTCTGAAGATGAGTTCAACATTTGCTAGAAGAAAGAATTTACCAATTTAACCAAAAAGAAATCCTTTTCGCACCTGAAGAACTTGCTTTCCAGATGTTTGAAACTGTGTTTGGATTTGCCTAGACATTGTAGCTTCCAGCTTTGCAGTAATAGATTTCTCCAATTGATTCACTGCCTTGTCACCAACTCCTTTCTATGAGCAAGACACAACGCAACGCATGGATAAGGGTACATATTAAAGCCAAGGGGTCCATGTCTCAGAAAAAGTTGAGAAATTTCAGACTTTATCCCTTGGAAACTTGAAATCTGATATGTTCGAAGTTATTATTCCTTAAGATTAAATTCGAAAAATGGAATGTAAAAAAGGGAACCTGAAATAACTCAGTGATAACTGAAGAAATAACTGGTGTAATTGCCCGTGCGACAGTAGGCCCTACTGCAGAAATTTCCTTCTTCAATGTCCTCTCCAACATGACAGGCAAATCCCTGTTCATGACGTTGGTGATCAGATTCGTTAGCTGCTGCATCTGGTCCTTTGCAACCCGCTCATGTTTCCAATTTTCCTCTTGAAAATGAGCCCATAGAACATCTGCATTTTCCTTGATAGCTTTTTCCATGCACCCTCCTAATGCCGTCTCCAATCTTTTGCCTTCATTCACGATAGGAGCGGCCAACATTACACCCATTTGCTTCTGCATTTCCTTTTGCATGTTCATGAGCTGCAAAGAATCATCGCTATGGTGAGTTAATGATATAAAAGAATGGCAAAAGAACACAAATTGATTTCACCATATGGAGAGTAACAATATGTGAAACTTATTTAACAGCAAACATCAAGCCCTAGTCATTCATGATTCAAGACATTCCTTCTATAATGAAGTATAGATATCAATCAAGACTAACCCGACCAAGATATTTTTAAAAACATCAACCCAGTATGAGAAATTAGAGGAAAAATGGAAGTTAACAAAGGAACCCAATATAGATATATACTGAATGAAGGAACAAAATTTATCATAAACATAAATAACAAAACCGGATTGTAAAGCCAAAGAATTGCATAAGCTATACACAAGTACCAATCCTTCCTCAAAATCAGTAACAGCTGATGTTATCATCTTGCACTTCAACTATAATCAAAAGGAGATGGAAAGAAACTATCGAGTTGCCAAAGATGTGCACTAAGAATATGTACACAAAACTGAATCAACCAGCACAAGAAGTCACTATAGACACAATAAATGGACACTAATGGGATGCATAAATGGTTAATATATTGGTTTCCAGAAAAGATAAATATCACTTCACATTTTGGCATGATGGGGAACAACAAAATTGAACTGAGTTTTCAATAGCTTTGACAACTTCAGACATAAATAAATAATTTATTATATCAAAACTAAACAAATCATAAAGAAAGGAGGGGAGGCTAGGCTTTTCTAATCATGTAAAGATTACCATTTTGGACATGCATTTACTTTAGGATTGACCTTGCAGAGAGCACATTATTCAGTTACTTTTAACATTTAAGATACTCATATTACCTTCTGGGCAGAAGATGTATATACAGGCTTTAATATGCTTACCAAATTTCTAGCAGTGGCCACTCAACCCATGAATGCTGATATATCTGTATGTACTATGTTCCTTTTTAATAGTTTAATTAATCGCATAAGAAAGCTAGGCCATGAGGTTTCAGAAAAGAAAAGGTATAAACATGTAGCAGGCATAAAACCCTGCGATATACGCCGAGTTATAACAACAGAAGCTAAATACCAACAAAATCTCAAACCTTCCAAAAATATGTTACATGGCAAATATCTTGCTCCATGCTCAATATCAATCTTAATTTCCTGGTCACATACTAATGACATACTTTATTTTAAGAATAAAATTAAACCATGATAAAACTTCCAGGTGAAGAAACATCCTTTACACCAAATGAAAAGAACAAAATTATCATTGACCATGTTTGACACAGTACCATGTGAAGCTTACTTCACAAAACAAAGTTCAAATTTTGAACTACGAGCAGCTAAAAAAAACATGCAAACCTGGTTCAGTGTTTCCTGTAGAGCAAGAATCTGAGGAATGACAGCATCGGTTGAAGGAACCACAGAGCTTCTCTCTGGTTCATTTAAAGAATCATTAGAGTCAAAAGGACTCAAAGAAGGGGATGAAAGGTCAGTCATATGGTGCTCTTTTCCTTTTTGCTTCTTCCCTTTAGCAACTGAAAGAGATTGAGGTATGGCAGTCACATCAGATTCTTTTTCAGGCATATCCCTCTTCTTGTATTCAACATCTACCTTGAGAGTACTGGGAGGCTGATCCATTGTCTCAGCAGTGTCATCAACCAGGCAAGATTCTCTCATAGTGCAAGTTTCTAGCACCATGGAACTCTCATGGTCCACCCCTAATGTTGCTTCTAAAGTTTGGAAGGGTCTCTCTTTATCCTCAATGGTAACAGATTGTGGCACTTTATGAGTATCAAAATCCTCTTTCTGACCTGATCGCCCCTTGCCTGCAACTTTTACTTCCACCTCTTGACTCTTGATATTATTATTTATGATTGTATCTAGAACCTGAACTTTCTGACCTAATGGGACTTGAATGACATGGCTAATGTCTGAGGAACTTATGACACCTAATAGGATTTCTGAAGGAGTAATTAAGTGTGTTGTGTTTCCATTAAGCTTAAGCAACAAGAGAGGATTCAACACCTTAGAAGGATCATTTGGTCCAGATATAGGATCATCCTTTCTCAAGTTATCATTTGTGGGAGGCATATCAGGTGCAGTTGCCACAAGAGAATCCACTCTCCTGTCAACTGAATAATCAAAAACAGGATGATCCACAACATTGTTAACAAGTGGTGATCCATGTTCAGCTTTACGTGGACCACTCAGACCAGCTAATCGTCCTGCAAGGTCTAGATTCACAGGAACAGAAGAAGAGACATATTGAACATCAATATCTTTCTCAGCAAGTGGAGGAACATCTGTCTTGGCTTCAGGTTTTGATGTGGACAATTCAGGTACTTTCATGACCTCAGAAGAAACTGAATCTATAGAATATGGGGCTGATGATGCACCTCTAGTACTGCTAACCGAAAGCTGTTCTCTTGGTGAAGCATTGATTGCTGAAGGAGTATTGACAGGAGGCCCATGAAATGCCTCTAACTCGGAGAGTGTTTCCGAGCTAGGAGTCTTAAAAGCATGATATAAAGGATTTTCTGCCAAACGAGCATTAGCAGTTGGTGGTGGTAAACACTGGTTCAGCTCCATCGCATACTGTTGAATAGCCTGCGTCTGCACACAGTAGATCTGAACCACTTGTTCCCCATCAGCAAGGAAATCATTTGTACCAGTGAGACTCAAAATAGGCATTGTGACAGTAAAATCTGCTATGTAGTCCATGTGTGTGGAAGCTGGGCATGGGCCATAGTCTACATGCACAGCATATATAGCATTCTTCTTAGCATTTGCAATAACTATCAGATTTGCTTGAGGTAAGACTACAATCTGGTTGAAAAATGCATCCTCAAGATGAGGTTCTAAGGAACTTCTCAAGTCCAGGGTCTGAGTGCACTGCCAAGATTCAGAATCACCAGGCAAGAGCCAACCTTCTTCACTGGTAGAAGCCCATAGTTTCACTTCCCGATTCAATGGGCCCTGCAACAGAAAATTTTAACCAACTTACAGATAACTATGGTGCGACAAAGTGCTAACATTGCCAAACAATAAAGCAATGTAGAAACACTTCAGTCAAAAACCATCAACTGCAAGACAAGAAATAATATAACTGCAATCACCATATATACCTAAACTTAAATTTGAACTTATTAAAGAAGACAACACATCAAAGACTATATGCAGCCTCAGAACATATGAAAAGAGGCACAAGGAACCATACTGCAGTGACAAGATTGATGTGATCAGGACGGTGTGGTGATGCCATAAATGCAACTGAATTAACAGGTTCACCATCATGTGGCCTCAACGTAGCAAGGGGCACTGCTTTGCGATCTTCCCAGATCTTTACCTGTATGAAAAAAGACAGTAGTACCAGTTCATAAAAAAGAAAGATTAGGTGACTAAATTGCAGATAGAACACAAGAATGTTTGATTTACAACCTCACAATTTATCTTTGATTTTCAACTTCAAAAGCTTATAAACAACATCCTACCCTTTCCCACTGAGAATGATAGGAAAATAAAGACTGGAAAAGAAAATAAAAGCTAAAAAAGCAAACAGGATGATATCTTATGAGTAGGCTTCAAAAAGATGAATACCCCTCACGGTTTGATGTTTCTGTTTATATCATCTGATCCACAAAATTCAACAAGTGGTTCTTTTATAAGATAGAATGTTCATATCTCAGACAAAGTTTATTGCTAAAGGAAGTGACAAAATAAATAGTGGAATAGTTGTAAATAGGACAGTCTAGACCTAAGACCTCATACACACATTACAGAAACTTAAATAACATAAAATCAAAGAAATTTAGCTTAAAAATATATTTTCAATGAAAAATGAGAAACTGAACTATTATACAGATGAATAAAATGTCAAAAATCAAAGGAGTTATAAAGATAGAGAAAACACATATGGACCAACCACCACCTTTATTTCCCATCTTTCGAGGCACATTGTATTTCCGGCATACATTATATTGCTAGAACATCTTGGCTACCAATTAGAAGTTGCATCTTCACAAAATAAACAATGGTAGAATTTCTAATTCTATTTCCCAAGCAACAAACACAACAAGAGGTAATGTCCCAATCTATTTGGAATCTGCTGGAAACTCTATCTACCATGCAGCCAACTTGACTATATAATTATCATGTGAAACAAAGAAAAAGTAACAGCAAAAAGCTCTTACAAGTAAAATTCTAATGACAATTCTCTGTAGTTGCCACATAAGTTCCTTATTAGTTTGCAATTATCAATAGAATTAAATAGTGATAACTACAAACCGTGCCATCTTTTGATGCTGACACTAATCGGGTTATCATCCACTGGGATATGGACAAATCTGTTACATCTCCATCATGTTTACCGACAAGTTGGATCCCATCAATTAGCTTCTCAGCAGGACATTTGAGAGGTTCCTCTGCTGAAAATTCTTTTCCTCTTCCAATTCTGATCAAATCAATTTTTAATACACGATTTCCGATTCCAACAAACAAAAATTCCTGCAAAAAAGATCTCACAAAAGTTAGAAGTATGAGATTCATACGAAAAACTTGTCAAACAAATTTTAAATAAAAAATTGAAAGATGCAACCATATAACCATGAATTAAACAGGAAAAAAAAGAAAGGATTATAAATTAAAGTCCACATAGAGTAAGCACCAACAATTCACGACATATTTATTCTTAAAAGTTGAACTTACTTGCTTGTGAGAGTGCCAACAGATCCGTGGATGATAAGACTCTCCATTTCCTACAATCTGAACAGCAATTATTTTTTTTTCAGTTATCTGTGGCTTATTTTCCTCATCAGGAACTTCATCAATCTTCCATACAAAAACCCTTCCATCAATGCTTGCACTGTGATAAAGCAAATTAGCATACTGAGAGATGAACAAGAACAGAGATAAGTAAAAATAAAGAACAGTAGTGTACCTTGCCAAAAGGTGAACATCTTCAGCAAAGAAAGTCATATCCGTAACTCTCTGGAGCAAAAATCAAATAAATTTGAAGTATTGATCAAACCATAATAGCAGTTAGGAGTTCTGACTTATCATACCTCCGCTCAATGCAATATAACTAAACTACGTTCAGAAGAAAAAAACGTCACAGGGGAATATAGAACAACTTGGTCAAGGGGTTACTTTTACAAACAGAACAAACCACTCTTCAATGACACGTAAAAATGTAGGTGTTTCATTAACAGCCTTCGTTACAGGAATGTCTGACAAAAAACTGTTCCAATAGAGAACATGTACACAATAAAATAGATCATAGGAAAAAGAAAAATCATGAACCTAAAGTGTTAATAAACGTAAGTGTATAATCTTACAGGTAAAGAGGTTTTTTTTTTTTAGTGGGGTACATCGACTATGCCATATTTAAATGCCTGTCGCAAACACATTCATGACCATATGGGTACAAAAGCTAATAAATCCACTTAAAGGTCAAGTAGTCCATCAAGGGCTGCCATACCCAATGGGGTACACAAAGCCCCCTGTGGAGGGCATCAGAAGCTCACAAGGGGTAATAAACGTGCATTTCGTAAGAATAATTTATTAAGTACACTGGGGATCAACCTCATAACCACTTATTTATAACACAGGATACCTTCCAGCTGATCTAAACAAGGTCGATTGAACATATAGATCATTATGCCTGCAAGTTCCATGTACCACAGTGCAGTAAACCATTCCAACCCCCACAGACAACCATCATCATCCAGTTAAATTTAATCAGAATCAACTAATAAACTAAAGAGCATTTTAAGCCTCCATGAGAATAACTAAAGACCTACTATTTTTGGACTACTTATTCTATACCATACTTTGACCTATTTTAGCTGCTCATAGTGTGCAAGCACAGTACTAACAACATGCCATGAGTAAGGCCAGCTAAGCAATTTTTTTCTAATCCAACAACCTCTATTTTGGAGTTTCACTATCGTTTTTACATCTTGAATCATGACAAATGTAGTTTTCGGATTGTTGTTCGATTGGAACAATGTAGTGTTTTAGTGCTTTATGGATGGTTAAATCAATTTACTTCGATGTATTAGCAGTGATATTTTGAATATAAAATAAGATGAAACTCATGCATTGTCTATTTTTTTATTTAAATGATTTTTCTCCTTAATTATATTTTTTATAATTTTTATATTGACGAGAGTCTTACTTGCTCGAGCGAGCGCTTAGAGCCTCGGGCATTTTAAAAGCTTGACACCTTTTAGTGCCTAGCGCCTTTGATAACACTATCCCCAAGTTTCAACAATCAAAATTAACAATATTATTTCAAGGCATCTATCAAAATAACCAACAAAATAAATATACTAATATTTGCATCAAACAAAAAAAAAGAATCATAGTTGTCTATCGGACATCTTCCATGTTGGGTTTATTATCTTAGAAATAATAACACCAATTTGACCTTGCAAGCACCTGACCGGTATCATTTGCACATACCAGATATAGACAATAGTTTGAGGTAATTATGACAAACAAAATTAACTAGCACCGTCAGTTTGAAATATTTGACAATTAGGCCACCAACCATATGCTTCATATCAGGACAACCTTTACAATGGCATTTCCTTTGGTGAAATTAGTTCTTGCAGTAGTGAAAGGAAGATGTTGCAAATAACTATTACTTCATTTTTCCTTGATTATTTTCTTTTATTCCAGCCTGCATTCATGATAATAATTGCAAAACCTTTAGTGACAGGAATAAAGAATAATTTACATGAATGCTAAAAGCTCAACTTGAATCTTCATTGTAGAAAAACAAGAATTTATATTACTCTCAAGCTAAATCATGATTTCCTATTTGGTTTTAACTCGATTTCGTAGTAGCATTCTTAAAAATCATCGAATGATGATTCCAACAAAAAAACAAAGCAACAAAATTGAATAATTATGTCAATGGCATGAATGAATAAAGTTCTCCAAGTTTGCTATTTGAATCACCGTAAATTACTATCAATCATGGTTTCATCTAAATTATTGAAAACATGATATTTCAGTCATCTATTGACTAAGTTAAAAACAATAAATCAGTGACCGGATAGACATTACGAGAAACTGAATCAGAAGTTTCGAGCAAGATCAACCTGAGAGTGCCCCTTGAGCAGGGATCGCAATGCTGTGTTAATGTTGAGCACCCGAATGGCCCCAAGCTTGAGACCGTAGCATATATACGTTCGGTTGACAGCAATCTGACGGCCCAAAACAAGGCCCGGATCTGATGTGTACTTGGTAATCGGCGTGACCTCGAGCTGTGGTGGCTGCGACTCGCCCAGCAATCTAGAGTCCACATCGTACGCACACGTGTGTCCGCCTCCCAGTAGCCGTCCCCGAGGTTGCTTGCTGCTCGGCAACCTCGCCGGCACCGGCTGAACGACCGCCAGCGTGAAGGGGGCGGAACGCAGGGCGACCGCGTTTGCGGGAGGCGACAACTCCAACGGCATGGTCGAAGGGGCCGGCATCGAGACGGCGGATTCGAACTGGGAGGTAGGAGGATTCAGCAGCGCCATGAGGCGGGCGCCGGGGTTGTTGTTGGAGATAGGGTTAGGGCTGGTGCTGGGGACGGAATTAGGGTTGGGGGGATGAGTGCCGGCGGCGGCGTGGGCAATGGCGGGCCGGTGGAGGGTGTCCGGGGGGTAGAGGAGGAAGGGGTGGCGGTGGAACGGAGAGGTGGTGGGAGGGTAGGAGAACGCACCATGAGGCGGCGGAGAGGGGTACGACGGCGGAGGGGGAGGGTAGGAGGAAGGCTGGGGGAACGGCGACGGGCCGGTGATAGGGTTAGCATTGGGAGGCCTGAAGAGGTTGGGGTTCCCCGCGGGGGACGCCATCGGCGGACGCGGCTTCCGAGGTCCAGGGACGATGGCTGGGATTCCGTCGGCGGAGTGGCACTACCGTGCGCAGCGCCGGGGCGGCGTAGGTGAAGCGATCCGAAGCGGGGGACTGCGAAGGAAGAGGGGAGGGAACGGAGGTGGGGAGCGAATAGAGGAAGGGAGAGGAGTACGAAATGAGAAGTCATTTACTGCACATGCAAATATCCATAAAAATAAAAATAAAATCTCAAAATTACCCTCGAAATTTGATTTTATTTATTCTATTAATAAATAAAATAAAATAATTAATCTAATTTAATGTCAATAATTAACTCTAAAATAAATATAGGAGGAAGCTGAGAATATAGGAGACGAATGCTGATCTTACGATCTTGCTGAGGAGTAGATTCCAAGTCTTCCATGCCAACATACTGGACATCCCAATAGTGTTTAGGGGGATCACGTTGATGTTGACTCGGACTGCTTTTCCTGTTTTAAGAGTCTATAAGTGAAAAGGTAAGCACGAGTATTAAGAGAAGAAAGAGATCGGCTGGCAATCCGAGCCTTCATTCTTCTTCTCCTCGATGGAGTTCGCACTCAATTTGAAGTCTACATTTGTCTAGAAGGTGGATGCAAGGGAGCTCTCAACGTAATGTTCATGGTTTGAATCGGTTGCACCTCCGACACCGAACAATCATTCATGCACATGGAGTCGGAGTCCATCCATCCATCCATCATCTGCAAATAAAATGGACGGTATGGTAAAGCTACTTACGATGAGGCTAATGATGACTGATTCGCCACTTGCGTAATAGTACAAAATAGGACAAAAGATGATTATTTTCTGCCGGCATGAGTAAGTATGGCACCAAAAATTCATTTTCCATCCCAACAACTCACTGTGAGTAGTATCATCGGAGTGAATAGGAAGCAGCACATTGGTCAGCATCGGCCACTGTCTCGGTCAATGGAGCGGATGTCGTAGGACACTTCGAGGCTGCTGTTATGAAGACAGAGATGGAGTAGTTTTCATATCGAGAGAGACATTTGCGCCTGTCCTCCTCCGGCTGTTGCGTCGAACAACTGTTGTGCACAGGAGCAAACATTAAAGCGGACGCCGGTCACATCGTTGGGCATTTGTAGCTTGCTCATGTGAGCTTCCTCCTGGCAGTCTTTCTTGTCTCCAACATAGTTAATGGAAATAATTCTAATTTTTGTATGCTTTGAATGGTAGATTTACTTGGGCAAATGGATCATGCAGTCCTAATATTCTTCCTGTGTCTCTTTGTCCAAAGTGATCGACCCATGATTTTTCCTAAAAATGAGTGCTTGACCGACAGACAATCTGTTCTGACCAAACCAAAAGCCTGACTCGGCATGCTGGTTCGAAAAATGTCAGACTTCACGTCCGGTGATTTTGACCGAATCAGATGTTGTGTACATCGTATCATATCATTTGGGTGATGACAAAGGAGAAAAACTTATCCAGCCATGCAAAGTATGTTCAAGTGTAATATGCAAGAATCTCATCGACTACAACAAATCCAAAGAAATCGAACTCCAAACAATTAAAGGACGTACACGACGCACCAGTTAATGATACAGAAGGATTGTACAACATTTACCGTACACCGCATGGACGGACACAGGAAGAAACATTTAATAGCACGAACAACATTATTAGGAGGACGAGGACGAGGAGGAGGAGGAGATCAACTACAGCAGCCACCAGCTTGTGAAGAGGAGCCGTCCCTTCCACCTGACGGCCCAGGAATTCCTCCATATCCAACTTTGATTCCATTAGACTACAAAAAAACAAAAAAAAATCATGATCAGATAGTTTAAAGTTCCAAAACGTAAGATTTTATCTGTATGATGGGAAGGAAATTACAGCAACCACAAATACATAATCCTAAGTTCACTGGGGATCGAGGCAATGTAGTTAACTTCAAGCTTCTCCAAAGTTCTGTTATTGCCAATACTCTATTTAATACAAAGGAAGAACTTCCTATAAAAGCTTCGGAAACAAAAATGAAGATCAAAAGACCAGGACCCCATGAGGAATCCCGACCCTGGTATCCTTGGCTCACTTTTAATATAACAAACCACCTCCCTTGTGATCCACAATCATATTCTTACACAAAAAAGAACAATTGTGGTTCATGAAAAGATTGCTCCCTTGTGATTTAGGTGCTTGGAATTTGAGTTGTGCAAAACAGTCTCTTTGATCATAGACAACTGATTGCAGATATCATGCTTCCCTAACCCTACATTAGTGGGAGCTTTGTATAATGATCTCCCTCGCCTTTCTTATTCTAAAGCACAAAGCACAAACAAAACCCAACAGGTTCTCAGTAATTACAAAACGGTCCCCTCATCGATTTTGGGTGCTTTGATTTGTGTTACAGAATATCTCAGTACTATATAGTCAGATCTTACCTCATTTGATACATCAAAGACACCATCCTGAATTTTCTTGTATATCATTGCAGCAGTTCTAGTGAAAGCCTGATCAGAGAAATAAGCAAGTCCATGAAGTAAATAGATGTATGAAAATTCATAAAGTACAAAAGCAAATTGATGTGGAGAAATAAATACGCTGGTTCACCTCCTCAACATTCTGCGCTGTCTTGGCAGACGCCTCCATGAAGATCAATCCATGCTCTTTGGCAAACTGTTCGCCTTCCTCAGTGCTCACAGCTCTTCTGTGAGCCAAGTCACACTTGTTGCCGATCAGCATAATTGTCATATTAGGATTGGTGTGCTGCCTTGCATCTTCCAGCCAACTAGCGAGATGATTGAATGTCTCCCTCCTGACAATCAATTGAAAGAATAAACAGTATAAGCACCAAAAGAAACTATAAATCATCAGCTCCATGGAATTACTACCTGGTGATGTCATACACAAGAAGCGCACCAGCAGCACCTCTATAATAGGATCTCGTAATTGATCTAAAAGATTCCTGGCCAGCCTGCAAATAGTTGATGACACAGATACCACTTCACATACGCCACACAAATCAACAAATGAATGGAAATAGTCTATTATCACTAAAAGCAATACAATATAATACTCTCAATAACATTTACAAATATAAAACCTTTATAGATGAAATGCAGATGTAAAATACAAGATGATACTCAACACTTCCATATTATAGTGAACGAATAATTCAAACTCTTAACAAAAACATATACATATATATAACCTTGTAAACTAATACAGGTAACTATTATACTAATCATGTAAAGTATCTCGAAAAGGAACCACTTTGATATCTGTAGGAGAGAAACCATGATAGGCACATCAGCTTTCAGAAAGGCACAACAATATCTCAACATTCCCATGAAGGTACCACTACGTCCTTGGCAACATCATTTACTGACTAAAAGAAATTATACCTAAAATTGGATTTGCACTAATTCACTGAAACAGAAACAGAGAGAATAGAAACTAACTGTATCCCATATCTGCAACTTAATGGGCTTGCTGTCAAGAGTAATCATTCTAGCTCCAAATTCAACACCGATAGTCAAGTCATGCACAGGTTGGAAGCGTTTGTCAGTAAACTGCAAAAGGAGACATGATTTCCCCACTCCTGCAAAGATGTAAACATTAAAATGTTATAATAGAATTTATTTTGTGATGGGCATGTTCTAGTTTGCTAGTACCTAGCAAATACAAAAAACAATAGAAAACACTGATGTCCTTGAAAGATAATAGTTTATTGATGATGCCAACAACAAAGGTCAACCCTTCACCATCCTCAACAAAAAAAGAGGATAAATAAATTGGCATGGAGCACCCATCTAATTTCGTTCACTTCAGGCATAGCTATAAACATTGAGAATTGAACTGGAAATATGACAAAAAATTAAAAAGCTCGATTGGCATGATCAAATCCAATAAAATTGACAATGCCTACAAGCGCCTAAGTCGACAAAATGCATGTTGGATCTTTCAGACAGTTCGAATCATTTTGATAGTAATCAGTTTAATCTATTCTACTAAAAAGTTGTGCAGCTCAAGTCAGTGTAGACCTACTCTTAATATACTCTATTTTAGTTCAGTTTCCATTTCCGCATTACTAGTTGTTCAAATACTGGCCACTTGATTGGTCCCGTAGAAACATAACATCACTAAAAGCTCATGTAAACGCATAGGGACCGAAAAAAAAAAAAGGGAAAAGAACAATTAGTTCCAATAGATCTAATCCGTACTTGCTGAATCCAGGTTAAATCTAGTATAAACCCTTCTTCATCAATCATCGTGAACGATAAGAAACTATAAATTTGACAAATTTGCTGATAACAAATAGCAAAAGACATTATGTAAATCTGCCATGACATTTCTTTTAACGGTAGCGCATAACATGAGATGGTAAATCTGCATCATTTCGATAAGAACAAAAACAAATGAATATTGATTCAAAAAGGCGATTTGCACCCCTGTCCTCCATGTCCCGCATAAGCCATCATACTACAAGTCCACAAGAATCAAGGAGGCGTCAACAATTCAAAAAATCTAAACACGATCACATCACCAACCACTCCCTAACCGCATACAACAATAGCGATACAGCAGACTAGAAACAATTCAAAACTTTAGTTAGAAACCCGATCCCGAAACCGATTAGCCACCTTTCTTTCCTCCCCAACACTAGCTCGACAAATCCCCAACGAAAATCGAAGAGACCAACCTCCGGACAACTGAACAATAGTAAACCTAGGAAGAAGCTGAAGAACTTACCTGTGTCGCCGATGATGATGTACTTGAAGAGGTAAGCGTACGACATGGTTCACCAGAGCCACAGCCACCCAATCCCAAGACCTCCTTCGACAATCGAGAAGAAGAACGAAAGGAACCCTAGAAAACAAATCGAAGCGAAAGCAACAGAGGAGAGACCAGGAGACGATGAATCGAGTTGGGGGAGGGCGGTGGGCTTCCCTTTCTGGTTTCTAATTATTAGTAATTAAAAAAGGAAAATCTTTTTTTAATTATTAATAATTCAACAAGGGCGGCGGGTTTGCCTTCGTCATGTACCCACGAGCCTACCTGCCTTGTGAATGGAGGGAGTAGAACATCACGTAGGACCCGGCTGTGGAGCGCGTTTAAGACGTGTATAGGACTCGAGTACAATTTACATGCGCATCGCCCACTCATGGTTGTTGTAGGGAAGTA